TTGATTCCTGGAGATTCCAGTGGAGTCATTTGTAGAGAACCATTAGTGGACATTATGCAGTGGAAAGATAGGAGATGATGTTCGAGAACAAGGGACTTAGGATTGTGTTTTTGTGATGACGGAGTGATTGCAAGTGCCAACGCTAAGGTAGGGCCATGAGGCTGGTGACAGAAATGAGGTGGAGGGGGCAAGGTCTTCGCAGGCCATGACCTCCAGGACCTGAGATGTCAGGGTGCTGGTGACGTAGTTACATAAATGTTGAGGCTACAAAGAATGACGACTCTGGTAGGAAAACAGTGAGTCAGGAACCAAAACCTCCAGTGAAAGAAGAGACAGGAGAATGCAGGAGCAGCCCATATTTCTAAGGGCTAGAGACATGTAGGGAAGAAGTGGGAACTGAGGCAAGAAACAGGGGTTTCCTGCACTCTAGCCCCAGATGAGAAGCAGAACGATAAGCAGCTGCTCATCACTCCTATGTAGCCACGGAGAAACAAAACAGAGGCACAGTCAAAACTAAACCAATACAAACCGTAGAAATCTGACTGCAGAATTGAGACTACCAGCACAGGAGGGTAGGCGTGGAGAGCAAAGAAGGGAGGCGGCCTGGTGGATTAAGATGGAGGATTACAGGTACTTGGGATGTGGCATGGTAACACATGCGGAGAGTGTGAGCCTATGTCTTTACATTAAATACAGTGTTGTAAATTATTGCCTCTGAAAAATAATGCAATAACAAACAAAACAAAAACAGTAACTACAAGACAAAAAGCAATCCCCATTGAGGGGTAGTCTAGAAAGTTGTGTCTTGCGGGTAGAGAGTCTTTATTATTTTTTTAAAAAAGATTTATATATTTATGCATACAGAACTGGGGTACAGGCCAGAGGCTCAGGGGTGGTGAGAGGCTTCACCAGAGACAGAGTGGGGAACAGAACAGGCAGATCGACGAAGTACACTGCTGAGGGGAGCAGCGGGCGGGTCAGGAGAGTTCTGCCGGGCCACGTGGGACACCCCCCTGGTCAGGGATGGAACTCATGAAGTGGCTGCTTCAAGTGTCCTAGTGCTGCGCTTTAACCCATTACGCTAGCAGGGAGGGCCCTAGAGAGTCTTCTTACTCCAGCTACTGACATGGCCCAGCTACAGAGAGCAAGACACGCACACACGCCCACAGACCCTCCCGATGGTATCTTCGCTCACTCCAGTCTACTCAGGAAACCACAAGTTTCATGAGTTAAGTGACTCAACTTTTAGTCGCTGAGCCAGGAACAATCCCTGTGTCTTCTGATTCTTCACAACCCCTGTTCTTTCTACTAATCCAGTTCCTTCAAGTCTCCCAAAGATTAGATTTATTGGAGTTAATATGGTAGTTGCTAATAGATGCACTTTAAAAAAATACAGATTCCTCAATGCAAAGAACACAACCATTTAATTCAAAAGGAAATCTACATCCTTAGGTTTATCACTACACTATTTACAATAGGTAAATTATGGAAACAACTTAAATGTCCAAAAATAGATAACTGGATCAAGAACATGTGGTATGTATACACAATTGGAATGCTATTCAGCAATCGAAAAGATAAAACTCATGCCATTCACAGCAACATGGTGGAGCTGGAAGGGATTATGCTCAGTAAGCCAGAATGGAAAAGAAAAAAATCGATGGTTTCACTTATAGGAGGAATATAGGGGAACCAAATACAGGATCAGGAAATAATAAGTGAAAAGACAAAAGCAGCAGACAACTTATAAGTCAGAGACATTCTGCAGGGGAAGGGGAGAAAGAGGGATCAAAACAGGGGAGGGGAGAACACAAGGGACTATGGTGATGGTTCATGGGTGACTTGGTGGGATTTTATGGGGATGACACCTGAGAGGAGAAAGCATGCATTGTACAAAAAATAAACAATGATGTATGTGTGTGTGTGTCTACATATATATATATATGTAGACACACACACACATATATATTTATACACATATATATATTTATATAATACAGATTCCTGGCCTCATACCTAGAAATAAGGATTTAGAGTATATAGGACATGGCCCAGGGATCAGCATTAGCAGCCACCCCAGGTGGCCTTTGCCGTGACTGTTGCTGCAGGTCCCACCCTGCCTTCTTTATTGACTTATTCTGTGTGGTTAAGTTACTGCATCTCTTAGGGCCTCAATTTCCCAGCCCAATGTCCACAAGGAACCCAAGGAACCACCACCTAAAGTCTCTTCAGTACAGTGTCTTAGTTAAAGAGCTAAAGACCTGATTATTTTGCTAATGGATGGAGAATCAATACTGATACAATATCAGGGTCAGCGAGGACTTTATGAAGGAGCTGTAGCTTTTGGGGAGATACCCATTCCATCTCCAACACTTACCAGTTAGAGTAAAGCCAACTTATTTAGCTCCTCCAACCGCCAGCTTCTCCACCTGCAGCACGATTATAATGCATCCCTACTTAAAAGGCTTTGCAAGGTTTACAAACATTGTATGTAAGGGCCTATATGTAATTGTCAAATTGGAGTTAATATGGTAGTTGCTAATAGAAGTAAGAGTGAGTGACATGAGTCGCTGTTATTGGAATTTCTTTATTCAATTTTGATCATTCTGTAAGCCAGACAGGGCGCTCTGACCCCGGCGTAATAGCTCAACGCAGTGCCCGTTATCAGTGGACTTGAGCACCAAGCCCAGTGCTGATGTGGGGAAACCGTAAAGAGGCTGTTCCAATCAATACAGTAACATTTGCTTTGTCCTCGAGCCTTACGCCTATGTTGACACAAGTGGTCATTAGTGGACAGTGATGAGCCCTGGTAGAGGTAATGGGCTGGAAGGGGCGGCAGCAAGCGGGAGTTGGCACTTGAGAAAAAGACGGTGTTTTAATCAATGGCAGGTTGTCGTTAATGTCTGGGTGAAGGTTGGAGGTGGCCAGGTGCATTATCACACTTGAACCCACCCGGGTCACAGCATGGGCTTCCCAGATCAATAAGGAGGGTCTCAAAACCTCTCATGCACCTTACCAGCAAGCATGGCCACCAGCAGGAATTGAACGCGTGATTCATGTGGTGAAGACCCTTTTCTCCATCTGGGAGGGAGTCACACAAAACCCATTGATAAAGCTGATCCATCACTGCTGAGCTTGAGCTTGAGTGACAGCTCTGCTCTGAAACTCTGACTTGCAGTGATTCCTTTCCTTTCGGGAAGATTCAAACAAAGAGCTGACTCGGGCTTCCCTGGTGGTGCAAGGGTTAAACCACAGCACTATGAAGCTATCTTCAGTCGCTGCAGCAAGAGTTCAATCCCCAGCCAGGGAGCTGACCCACATGGCGCGGCAGACCTCTCCTGTCTTGCCCGCTGCTCCCCTCAGAAGTGTACTTCGCCAGTCTACCTGTTCTGCTCCCCACTCTGCATCTGGTGAATCCTCTTGCCGCCCCTGCACCTCTGGCCTGTACCCCAGTTCTGTATGCACAAATAAATAAATCTTAAAAAAAAAAAAAGAGCTGACTCACTTTAGGGTCTAGCTGCCTCTAAGGTGGCCCAATTCCCTAATGGCCTTTACTTTGTGTCTAGTTTGAGCAGAGGGCCAGTACACGGTCCTGCACACCTTGCGGTTTGCCCACATAAGGGGACACTGGACCATGAGGTGCCGTAGACCTAGAAATAATAGACCACGAAATATCAAGTGAAAGGGGCAGAAGCCAAGCGGTCACCCACATTTGTAAAGGGGAGATGTACATGCACAGGCTGAAGGAGGGGTGGGCACCAGGACAAGACCCACACGCCCACCCTATCACAGGGGTGTCTCCACATGGCTGCGAAGGACAGCAAGTACTCCATGTCGAGGCGTGGGGGGGAGAAAGGGAGGTGGAGTCATTTCCTTCGTTACGACTACCTGTGCTCTCCAAGTTTTCTTCCTTAAGCACAGTTTGTACAATTTAAAATATGTAAAAAATAAAAAAGGGATCGTCGCTAACAGTGACTATAGCATTTTTTAATGCCTGTTTTAAGATGGCAATTTCTAAAAATCTAGCAGTAGGAGAAAGTCAAAGTCAATATGGCGCCTTGGTCGAATGCAATGTTTATCAGCCCGAGACGTCTAGGAGAGAAGACTGTCGCACCGTGGTGAGGCTGAGCGGACAGCTGGCCCCCTCCTCGACCGCATCCAGCACATGAGGGCTGAGGGGCGGGGGCTCCCGTAGGGGCCTGGCTCCTGGCAGGCAGAGGGCTCAGCCGCCGCTTCTGCCCCTCTGTCCTGGCAGGTGAATCTGCCCAGCTCAGGCTGACAGCCCCACTCCAGCCGGGCAAGATCCGTGAGAACTAGCCTTTGCAAACAAATTTCTTAAATTCAAATACACATGGGGAAAGGTTTATTGCTATGAAACCTTTTGTTTGTTTTCTTTCTTAAAGGTACAAAACACTGTTGACAGCATTGTTGACAAAAGGGAAAAAACTTATTCAGAACAAGACCCAAAGGCGAGGCAAGAACAGCGTGACAGCCATTGTCCTTGAAAGCCAATGTCCCAGCCAGGAGGGCCTCTCCCTTTTCTGTGCCATTGCTAGTGTTGAAAGACTTTTTGTAAGAAAGAGCAACTGTCACTGGGTCCTCTTCACAGACATGCCGAGGATTTTGTGGGGTGCTCACTTGCATTTGAGTGTGTCAACTTATCATCCTCTTTTCCCTAGTTAATATTGTCTGTCATGAGCTAGCTTGTTTCCCAGGGAGCTGCCTATCTTCAAATCCTCCATCTGAGATTAATGGTAGGTCATGGTTATCAGAATAACAATCACAATGTAAGAATACACGTGGAGACCTTTGACCCAGGTGGGATAACTCGCTGGTTTATTCTGCATCCTGCATCTCTGGATGGAGCAAAGGTTGGTTCTTTTCCATCTGGAGCTGTGAAACGGTCAGATCATCAACAGACTTGAGTGAAGGCAGCAAAGAGAAAACCACCTTCGCTCAGCAGACGCGAGGGGGGAGAGTTTGGAGGGCCGCCCCTGCAGCTACAGCTTGCACCCGTCCAGCCACCGCGCCAGGGTGTCTGCGTACTGGCAATGCAAGGACCAGGAGGGCCTGCAAAGGGGAAGGGCAGGGGGTTAGTGGAGCGGCTCCCGACTGACCACCAGAGCCAGACCCACAAGCTGCATCGCCTCCCCTGCCCATGTCCACGTGCTGTGTGGACTCTGCAGCTTTTGGGCCTGTGGCCCCTGCAACAGGCATGTGCCCCGGGCCTCTGCGCCACAACTGTTTCTCTCTTGCTGTCTCTACCACCCCTGACACGGTGCCCCTGCTTTCTCCTGCTTTCTCTCCCTTCTTCCATCTCTTTTCACACATCCCACACTGTAGGATGGAAGAGGCTGAGCAGAAAATGTGGAATCCTCCCTTCGCCTTGCAAGCTAAGTATTGAATATTGTTACTGTCTTAGAAGTGAGCACTGAGCCCTGGGACTTGCCCAGGGTCATATGCTCAGGGACTTGGTAGACCCTGAAATGGGTCTGAGATGGCAGCCCTTGTCCCCTGACCAAGGCCTCTTCCACATTTCCATGCATCTGTTTCTCTCCTCACTCCCTAAATTTCAGCACACCGACCCTGCCCAGCTGATTGAGTTTCTCCAAGTTGTTGCAGCTCCTGGGACCACACCAGGACCCAGGTCTCCTAACCCAAACTAGAGGCCACGGGTGTCATGGGGCCAGCTGCAAGTCTTTAGAGACTTAATTTATCTCATCCTTCAGCTGGGCAGGCCTCCAGGGGTCTTCTAGGGTAGGGCGTACCACAGTTGAAAAAAAGGTTGCAGCCCCTGCCTGTCTCCACTATAGAGCAGCAGGAAAAAGACATGCATTCATATTGTGCATTTCAGGCACTACAGAGGGCCTTGGTCTCGTTCCTTCCTGTCTGTGCCAACAGTACAGTCACGTGAGCCAAGCGTTAGCTAAGGCTTGGATTCTTATTCATTTAATAAGCAATCGAATCACTGGGGACCCTGAGCAAGTGAGAAGGCCTTGATCAGCCTGGCCCAGCATATTTCTGCATAGTCATACAATAAAGATGAATTCAGCTCATTAGTGCTCATCCTTGATTGCCAGCCAAGCTTTCCAATTAATTGGAAAGTTAAGACGATGTATGAAACATATTTCACATTCTCAGGAGACAGTTAGCATCATTAAGAGGGCTCCTACTTTAAAATGCAATCTGTTCAATTAGTGAGGAAAATGGATTGATGAGTCAGTGGTATTGAAACCACTGATAAACCACTTGAAAAAAATCTAAAGTGGGTCTCTAACTTTTTGCACCAAAACAAGTTCCAAGATCAAAAATATAAGTCCGAGAAGAATAAATCCTTACAAATTTAAGTTATTGAATTAAAGTTTACTATAGGACTTAATTTGGACTAAGCAACATTCCAATGTACAGGAGAAAATAAGTGTAACTTCTTTACAAATGAGCAAGGCCACTTTACATAAACTTAGAAGTCGCAAAAGATTGAAGAATTTGATTCTGTGAAAATATAAAATCCCTACATGATGAAAATACTACAAAACAAAGTCAAAATACAAATAACAAACATGCAAAGAATAATTCGCATACATTTGATGGACAAACACCTAATGAACCTAATATATAAAGGGCATATATAAAATCAATTTTAAACAAGTGTTACTCCAAAAGAAAACTCAGCTAAGTCTATGAATAAGCAGTTCACAACAAAGACATGGAAAGATGGACAGCTTGCTTTGTAATTTAAAAATGCAAAGAATGGCATCATTTTGCAAGTGTCAGGAACGACACAATTTTTTTTTAAAGATTTATTTTTTAAAGATTTATTTATTTGTGCATACTGAACTGGGGTACAGGCCAGAGGTACAGGGGTGGTGAGAGGCTTCACCAGAGACAGAGTAGGGAGCAGAACAGGCAGATCGACAAAGTACACTGCTGAGGGGAGCAGTGGGCAAGACAGGAGAGGTCTGCCGCGCCATGTGGTCACTTCCGGGGCAGGTGGGAATCGAACTCATGCGGAAGTGGTTTTTACATTCTCAGAGCTGTGCTTTAACCCACTGCGCCACCAGGGAGGGCCAGGAACCACACAAATTTTATGGCCCAGATTGGTAGGTTGGACCAACGCAGACCTCCTCATGTAGTGTGGCCGAAGGGCCCTCCCTCGTGTGTGTAGCAAGTTGAACTACATCTTAACTTGAATACAATTAGTAGAGCCAGCAAATCCTAAGGACACACTTGAAAGAACATAGAAGTTTGAAGAGCAAGATGCTTGTCAGAGAATTGTTTGAAATACCAGCAGCAGCAACAAAACAGGAAACTTAAGTGCTCATCAGGCAGAAAATCACTGGTTGTGTCCATACAGCAAGGCACAGAACAGCCTCGACAGCCATGGCAGGCACTCAGGGGATGGCGTGCCAGGATTTGCAAACACTATCTATTAACATGTGATAAAAGGAAGGGACAGATCAGTGTGCACTAGGGATTCCATGTGTACTTGAAAATATTTGTGTCTATTTCTCTATAATGAGACATAGAACATAGTGACATCCAGAAGACTGATGTTAAGCTTATTTTTTTATCTTTACATTTTTAAGCACCTATGTACATGTATTTTTAATGTATGTGTTTTATTTTTTGAAATAATGAATTAAAGAATAAAAATGATTCCAACTGGTTTCTAAGTAATGGCTCCAGAATGTCTTTCAACATATAGGGGGAAATTGTTAAATGCCAAGCACAGAATAGATGCTAGAGGAGAGAGAGAAACATCTCTGATAGGACTGAGCTCCCAAAGATACAGAAAAAGGCAAAAAAAGCAGCAACAAAAAGCTCTGACCTGGGAGGCACACACCCCACTGGGGGTTCTGGATGAAATCTCACCCCCAAGGGCTATGGGAGACGGCAGGCAGGAGCGCTCAAGCTTCCCCGGGGAGATGAGTCCTCCTGCAGGTCTTCTTGCTCCAGGGCTCCAGGAGGAGCCTGCCTAGAAGCCCTCAGGGCCCCCAGAGGAGGACCGACAGCACTTTGGCCTTCTGGGCGACCCTTGCCTGCAGCCCCACCTGCTTGAGTAGCCTGGTGAGAACAGAGGCTGGGAATATCCCGGAGCCAGGGTCAATTCCAGGGCCGTGCCACCGGCAAGTTATTCTCCCTCTCTACACCTCCATTTCCTATTTGTTAAATAGGGATAAAAATACTCATTGCAGAGGGATTTGTGAGGATTAAATGATGATGTTTCTGTAAACATAAAAAAAATCTACAGGGCTACCTGGTTAAAGTAGTCAAGAAAACCATTAAAAGATTTCCTCTATTGTGAGGTATCTTCTATTTAACGTGCATCAGTGGTTCATTAACTTTTGGGCAAAATAAACCCCAATGTTCAGAACATTCAGAGGTTCAGCCTAGAACTGAGGAAATATGATTTGTTTCTAGATCTAGCTGGATACTACCAGGGCCAGAATCAACCGGCGAGTCAGTTCTGACTTGTGAGCCAAGCAAGGGTGAAAAAGGCAGAAAAAGGTAAAAAAATAGTATGGATGGTGTAGACAACCGTGGCAAATAGTGTAAATGAAGGTGGCAAAAGCACATGCTAGAATGGAGGGTCTTCAGGGACGCCAGTGGTTAATTTTATGAGACGGGACGAGGTATACATATCAGAAAAATCTCCAGTACTAAAAACTGGGCCAGAAGACTGCCACATCAGTCTGTTCCAGAGGGACATTTAAAAAAGGGGTCTAGCTATTACCCTGGTATCGGTGAGCACACACAAGAAAAAGCCACACTATCTGGCTGCTTGTCAAACACTGACTATGGTAAATTTGTCCTTTTTGCAAAGAACAACAAAACTGTTCATAATATTTTCCCATCACAGCACTGAAAAATAAAAACAAAACCTGAACATTACCCAAATGTCCACTAACAGAAGAGTGGATAAATTGCAGTGTATCTATTAGTATACAATAAAATGCTATAGACCAATGAGAATGATCATATTATAACTATATACAATATAAACAAATGTAGCATTGAATGAAAGAACATAGGGCAAATCAGGTCTAAATTTTAGAAGATTTTCCTAAGCAAGTATGTACTTAAATAAGAAACCAAAGTTACAGTTATATTTTGGCAACAAATATAGAAAAATAGTGAAGACAGCTAACAATACATGCAGAGTTCTTTTACATCAATCTGATATCTGAATTTAAAAAACAATTAATGAACTGGAACAGAGGAAACTCACAAGAAATATGTGAGGATATAAAAAACACAGGGAAAAGCACCCTAGTGGAACAATATATAAAGCAAAAAAACATAAGGCAAATTGTTATTCACTCTTCACATGGTAGTTTTATAATTGGCAAATGCAGTAAGTGTTTTGCCAAACTCTGAATATAAGTGGAAGTTGGTACAAGCTTGCTGGAGAGACATTTCACAACAAATGTCCAGGAGACTCACAAGTAAAAGCAGGAGATGGTAGGAAATTAACAATCAGATATACCCAGGTGTATTTCAAGGGTGCTCATCTTGTATAACCCTAAACAAAGTTTAAAGGGAAAAGAGGCTCAACTTAGGGCAATTTTTCTGACAATTATTTCCTACCTTCTGTGGCTTCAAGGCTGCCGAAGGGCACGTGTCTGCTCCTGTACTTGGAGAGGTGGACCCCAGAGGCATGGGGCTCAGGTGACCAGCAGGCCAAGATGAAGATGCAGCAGGAGAGCGAAAGCCATTAATAGAGGCTATCTAAAATGTCCCACTTACCATGCTCCCATCCCATCCTTTCCTTTCACAATTTTCTTGGCGCATTCAATTGTCTTCTTTAAGTCTGGATTCAGTAAATCTGTGGAGAAAATAAGGTGGAATGCCACGGTGCCATCACCTGCAGCTAAGGCACAGTGAGATCAAGAAAGTCACTGGGCGCTTACATTAGAGAAGCTTCCAAGAATAGATCTACCCAGAGATTTTTCTTGGACAACACTGGGAGGCATCACGTTGTCACTTTTCACTAGACTTGTTTCTTTTTCATAAGTCTATAATATTTTCATTAAAAATGGATGCTTGGTGTGCACTCTAACTGGGCAATAGAGAAGCCGTAGAGATAGCCGGCCAAGCATGATACATCAACCTCTGTCCTCATGGAGCCTGCGGGCTAGATAGAGATTATAGCCAATTATGACACCATGGGTGCCAGGACCTGTGAGAAGGAGTGCCGGACTCAGACTTGGAGAGTCTGGTAAGCGTCACCGGCCCAGTGACACGTAAAGGAGTAGGGCAGGAAAGCGAGTGGAGAGAGTCATGGAAGGGAGGTGGATCCAGGCGGAGAGAATAGCACGGAAGTGGTGCCCCTAAGGAGCCCGCATGTCTGCACGTTCATCCTTCCACTCCTTCCTTGGAATGTGGACGCCAAGATCTCCCACCTGGGTCTGCATAACACCCTTCCTTCTTGCCCACACTGCAGTCTCCCTTACCCCCAGTCTAGTTTTTCCTGAAAACATTACTCCAGGGCCACCTGGTTGCCTATAAAACAGAACCCCAAATCCTTGACTTAGTGCTTTCCCCTGTGACTCTCCATTCAAGTCAGGCCAAGGGCAAGAGACAAAGACAGTCCCCTCTCCAACACCCCCCCCACACACACCCACACACACCCAGCTCCACGCCTGACACCCTCAGCTTGGGGAGCATATGCAGTTCCTCTTCCTGGACCTAGTTCATATTCATTCCCAGCCTGGATCTCCTCGTCCCAACAGGACAGCCCTTAAGAGTCCGTCACTGATCACCTAGCCTGCTGGGCCTTTAGGCCTCTCCTGAAGTAGATGCCACTTTGAGTCAGCACGCATCTGTTACATACATCCGTTGAAGCATACACACATACCCACATCCCAACCCCAAACTTCTGTGTAAATTCTTTTACAAGGAATTTGTCAAGTACCAGGCAGGATTTAGAGGCCATGCCCAGCACTTTCACTGTAGTATATTAAAAACTCATAAAATCCTTGCAAAGTAGCTACTATTATATAACATCTCCATTTTACATGTAAGAAAACTGAGGCTGAATTACATTGTTAACTCTCTTGTTTTTTTTTTAACATTTTTACCTAGTGAGAAGGGTTTGGGATATCTAGTCCAATATACTTTTATCACAGCATCCAGTGACAACTCTTTTACAAAGAATCCCATTGGGTTCAGGAGATCGATGTAGAGGATGTCATGTAGATACAGATACAGGCATATAGATGTAAGTCGAGATGCAGATATTTCTTTTGTGATATAAACCATAGACTTACTGTGTTTCTTTTGTTGCTTTGGTCTTAGGAAGCTCAGGGTGACATTGAATGTGCCAACATAATAATGAAATAATTAATTATAATAATTAATATGTATGTGTATGTCACCCCCAGATTGTAGTCACCATCATTCACTGGGGGGCTCTGTGCAGTGCTTTCTATACATCATCCTCTTTAATACTCACAGCAGCCCTAAGCTAGCCCACGGCCCCCTTTCACGATGAGGAAAGCTCTGAAGTGCCTTGCATAAGCTCATGTAGTCTGTAATTGGATCAGTTGGGATTCTCACAGGTGCCTGTGTGGTTTCTGCATCTGCTGCTCCTGCTTTCAAGTTCTGCTTCCCTTTGAATTCGGGAACATTCATACTTCTCTCTGGAGTCCAAAGTCAAGCAGGGGGCTCATCGCAAGGCAGGTTCCTCCCAGATCACATAAGGAGGTGACAAGCCTTTGACATGACCTCTCCATTCTTTCTCTTAAAGGTCCAGCTCAGAAACGCAGACTTTGGAATATTTCTCATCCATCATGGGGCGGTTTACTCACTGGGGAGAACCCGAGGGTGCTGGGATCAATAGGTCTTTCTGCTGCAGAATGGCAGCTGGAGAGGTCAGGGAGACCTCTGGCCTGGCTGCTCAACCTCTTGGTTTAGCTGTGGCTGAAAGTCACTCTGCTTGGATTCGCCTCCCAGTCTGCCACCTACCAGTGATGTGACCTTGGGCACAGACTTACCCTGTCTGGGCCTCAGTTTCCCCACTTATAAATGGGGGTAATAAGAGTGTGATGATGATATGAATACCTGTAAGGAACCTAGAAGAGTACCTGTGTGCCTCCCTGGTGGCACAAGGAGTTATGTCTCAGCATTATGAGGCTACAGCCAGCCACTGCAGCACAAGTTCAATCCCCGGCCAGGGCGGTGACCACATGGCACAGCAGACCTCTCTGTCTCCATGTTGCTCCCCTCAGCAGTGTACTGTGTCAATCTGCCTGTTCTGCTCCCCACTCTGTCTCTGGTGAATCCTCTCACCCCTGTATCTCTGGCCTGCACCCTACTCTTGTATGCACAAATAAGTTTTAAGAGTGCTTGGAAGTCAGCACTAGCATGGCAGCTGCACTGCCACTGAGCCCCACTAGTAAATTAGGGACCATTGATCTCTCAGGGACCAGTGAGAGACTCCGAGCAGCAGCTCCTCTTGACCACTGTGTTAGGGATCTACTGAGAGTGACGGGCCTCCTGGGGAGGCCCATTCCTGTCCTGTCCCGTTGACCGCTTCTGCCCGCCAAGCGGAGTGTGCTAGCCAAGTGTGGGTGACATCAGGCCCAGCTGGATCCTTCTGCTTTACCCCTTCGGCTCAGGGGGTCTGTGATGCCTGCAGCCCCCTCCCTGCCTCTCTTCGGCACCCCCACGCCTCCTCTGCCCATCTGGACGCGGGTCTCCATCGCTGTGCCACCCGCTCTCCTGCACACACTGTGCTCAGCCTCCCTGAGGCCCACCTTGGACTTGGTTCAGCCCAGCTTCTGCCGGGCCCTCCTCGCCCCGCTCCACACTCGTTAACTCAGCCCCGGACCGATGCAGCGGACCCAGTGCCCAGTGTGAGCCTGAGAGCAGGACCTACCGGCACATGACATGTGGCACAAGTTCTTGCCGTGGTCACACCAGTCATTGTTGCGGATCTGAAAGAGGCCGAAGCCAGTGAAGTCGCCGTGCATGTTGTCGTAGACAGCAGTGGGGTTGAACTTGCTCTCGAAATAAGCCAGGCACACCCCTATGGAGGAACAGGCGGTGTATGGCTCAGAGGGGAAGTGGAGTCGAGGCCGCCTGGGTGAGCGGTGGAGGGTAAAGAGCTGAGGAGAGAGGGGTCTACTCACAGTTTTCCAGTCTGTAGCCCTCAAAATAGTGCAGCCCTCCATCGTAGAGTTTCTTAGCCACTGTGCAGCGCCCCATGACAGCAGCGCCACTTGGCGCCACTAGGCAGCTGAGGAGGGAGAGAAGCACACATGCCTTCATCCTCTGATGCTCCCGGCAGCTGCGGGCAGCCACAGCAGGTGAGCGGGCAAGTCACAGGTAATTCCGACCAAGGTCGCAGGGTCACTGGTTCCTCTGGAGAAAAAGAAGGGCACTGTGGGGTGGGGTGTTCGGCTCAGTGTGTTGAGGAAAACAGGACCCCCTTGGCTGACATGATTCCTTGTCCCAACCTATTTCTTCATTTCATGTGACTACAAAGCCAGGATGCAGGAGACCCTGGCCCTCGAGACCTATTTCTAAGGAAATGGCTCTCTTGCAGGTCTCCTCTGCCCTCTATTCTTTCCCTCCAGCAAAACCTAATGGTGCCTGTTTTTTTTTTTTTTAACTCACTCTTTCCTCTTTGACTATAGATACAGATGCTCCAAACCTCACTTCCCCTTTATTGTGAAAGCAGAACGTGTTTACTGAATGCATTTTGGAAAGCATGAAGAAGAAAAACTGGGTCCCACCTCTTGAGCACAGGCACAGCATTATTCCCATCATCGCTTCCATACTGGGTATATTCTCCACATATTAAACTTTCTGGAAACTTGTGCCCAGATTACTGCAGACAGACCAACCCCACTGCACTTCTCTCTTGCTGCCCACACCAAGAGATATACGCCACCACAGGTTTGTACCTGATTTTTCTTCTGCCTGGAGCATGAGTCCTTCAGCTACAACATAGCTTGCTTTTTCTTAACCTGATGTCAGTTCAAATGAGTTCACCTCCTCAGAGAGGATTCACCTATCACTACCCCATCACAGAAAATCATTCTTTTCTTCACAATATCAGTCGACATCAGAATTAAATTGTTCGTATGTCTATCTGCCATGCCAGAGTTTAAGCACCAGGAATGCAAAAACCTGGTTTGTTTTGTTCCCTGATTTGTCCCCCAAACTTAGAACCTGGGATGCAATCAATGCTCCATGAATTTTTGTTGAATGAAAGAACAAACAGCACTGTGGTTGGACAAGCGGTGAGTAAATCTGCTAGGTGTCTCCTGTGCTGGGTGCCATCACACCCATCCCAGCTGCTGCCCAACTAGCGGGCTTACCAGTCCCGCAGCCCCTGGTGCCTCCTGGGCGGGGGAGGGGGTGGAGCCACTGCAGCAAGGTGCGGTTGGTTGCAGAAAAGTTGCTCTACCTACACTCAGTTCCCTGGAATTTTCAGATGCCACTTCCTTGACAGCCTATTTGCCTTTATCCGAGAGCTTCTAAACCATGTCTTGCTCCATGGCCTTGCTTCTAGAACCTTTTCTATGACATCAGTTGCTATGCACCAGAATATTCTGAACAGGGAGACATCTGTCACCATTGCATTTGAACTCATTTTCTATTGTTGCTGCAGCAAGTTAACTCATACAGAAGCTTAAACTTACTGTCTTAGAATCTATAGGTCTGAAGCCAAACGTGGCTCTCATGGCCTGACAGCAAAGCGTTGGCAGGGTCCTGCATCTTTTGAAGGACTCTAGGGAACGCTTCATTTCCTTGCTCATCCCCAGCAGGTGAGTATGTCAGGTGGGTTGCTAGCAGAGCAGTTTCTTGAGGCTGTGCTGAGGGCACTGCCTGCCTCTGGCAGCTGGCGGCTGAGGGACACTCCCAGGGCCCGCTATGGTTCTTGCCACCACCTTTTTTCTTCTGTGTTCAAAGCCAGGAAGGGCTGGTCACACCCTCCTGCTCTGAATCTCTCTGTTTTCTTCTGTTGATATATCTCTCTGACCCACTCCTTGCTTCTCTCCCTTGTAAGGGTGCTTGTGATTAGAAAGTTTAGAAAAATCTTGAACCTCTCCATCTCGAGGTCCTTAACCTTCATCCCATCTGCAAAGTCCCTTACTATGCAAATAACATATTCAGAGATTCCAGAAGTGAGGGTGTGAATATCTCTGCGGGTCTATTACTCTGTCTATACAGTATTCTTCTGGGCCCATAGACTATCCCTCCAGAATGGAGCAGTAGCAGAAGCCCTTGTTTTGTTCTTTGGTTCATGATGGGGTCAGGGTCCAGGACATCCTTTCTTGGAGTCTGGGCAACCGCATCTGTGACATGAGGATATTGCCTGGATTTTTTTTTTTAAAGATTTATTTATTTGTGCATACAGAACTGGGGTACAGGCCAGAGGCTCAGGGGTGGCGAGAGGCTTCACCAGAGACAGAGTGGGGAGCAGAACAGACAGATCGACGAAGTACACTGCTGAGGGGAGCAGCGGGCGGGTCAGGAGAGGTCTGCCACGCCATGTGGTCACCTCGGGGGCAGGCGGGAATCGAACTCATGTGGAAGTGGCTTTAGCTTCTTAGTGTTGTGTTTTAACCCACTGCGCCACCAGGGAGGGCCGCCTGGATTATTTTTTCCTATTTATTTATGCTTACAGAACTGGGGTACAGGCCAGAGGTGTGGTGGGTGAGAGGATTCACCAGAGACAGAATGGGGAGCAGAACAGGCAGATTAACAAAGTACACTGCCGAGGGGAGCAGTGGGAGGGTCAGAACAGGTCTGCTACGCCATATGGGTCAGCTCCCTGGCCAGGGTCAAACTCATGCTGCGGTGGCCTCAGAGAGCCCAATAATGCGGTGCTTTAACCCGTTGTGCCACCAGGGAGAGCCCTCGCCTGTATTTTTTTTTTTTTTTAAGATTTATTTATTTATGCGTACAGCACTGGCGTACAGGCCAGAGGTGCAGGGGCAGTGAGAGGGTTCACCAGATAGAGAACAGGGAGCAGAACAGGCAGATCAACGAAGTACACCGATGAGGGGAGCAGCCGGCAGGTCAGGAGAAGTCTGCTTCGCCATGTGGTCACCTCCGGGGCAGGCGGGGATCGAACTCATGCAGAAGTGGCTTTAGCTTCTTAGTATAGTGCTTTAACCTGCTGCGTCACCAGGGAGGGCCGCCTGTATTATTTTTAAGATCCCAAAAAGTTAAGAGATTGAGATGGTTGAGAATAATATTGGTCTTTGGGAAACACAGAGCCCTTTTGGTTAACTCAGTTATAATTGGGGTTTAGTTAATTGATCAACTGGAGAGTCATAAAGAAAAAAAGGCATGAACACCTCAACTTAAACTCAGAAATGCACATTTGTTCACCAATCTTCACCGATGGGGGAAGCCTTTTCTTTGATAGGAGTTACTGACTGGAGCACAAAGTTTTCATTTAAATCATACTATGCTATATTCCATTTGTAGCTTCTGTTAGTGTTAAAGTAGGAACTTAAAGGCATAGACAAATCAGTGTCTTCTAGATTTTCCCTATAGATTTTCAAGATTTTTCTAAACTTTCTTAATGATATTGTCCATTAGCAAAACATTTTTTAATAATGTGCCCTTATCACATCTTTCAAAGCATTCAACTTATTTTTATTATTACCATAGAGTGACCACTTGTCCCCATCTGCCTAGGAGAGTTGGTCACTGTGCTTTGAGCCCTACACTCGGTTAATCTATAGATTAGTACTAATGGGACATCCCTACTTCCTTTCAAACCTTCAACTGAACTTGTAAAACTCGCCACTACTATTCTTCATTGTAGGACAATTTGCAACTTTATGCATTTTTAAATAGTTTTTCTAAAATAGCCCGAATTCTTCTGCTTTCTGGAAAATCCCTAGTCAAGAGGGACTATGTCTCTACTCCTAGGGAAAGGGGGCTGGAATGTTTCAGGGTAGGTCTGAGTATTGCCACTCCTCTGCCTTCCCCCCTCCAGCTACTGGCCAGACTTCTGTTCCAGTGCAGAGACTTCACGCTCTGGAGTGTGCTGGAAGGCACAAAGCATGCTACTGTTATTGTTGGTGACCTGAGGCAGAAATGTCATGAATGGTTTAGGGCAAAGGTTGCCAAAGGCCAGATCTGGCCAGCAGACTGTTCTAAATAGTTTCTTTGGAACACAGCCACACTCCACCCCCTCCCCCATTCACTTATGGACTGACTGCCTAATGCTGCTTTTGGCTACCATGAAACTTGAGCTGTAACACAAAGAAGGTGATGTAAAACAAAGTATTTACTCTTCACCCCATCACCAAAAATGTTTGCCAACCCAGCTCTAGAGCATGGAACTTGGGCCAAACCAACCTGGCTCTGGGTTGGAATCCTGGCTTGGCATTCACTAAATGAGTGATCAAGGAAATGTGTTTCTCCTCTTTGAGCCTCGGTTTACTCATCAGTAAGAGGGATTGTTGTGAAGTTAAAATGAGACAATGTGCATACAGCTAAGAGCTGCTCCAGAGCAGCTGACAGACAGTGCTGTGGTTAATGTTCATATGTGTTTGGGAGGAGGCTAACCCTAGCCAGGTCTAACAGTTCAGAGTAAAATTATTAGCTCATTCCATGGTAAAGCTCTTTCCTAGTGGATGTGCAGATAAGCTAAAAGACAGAGCCTTCAGGCTCTCCCTGGTGGTGCAATGGATAATCCACAGCACTATAAAGCTCTCTGAAGCTACTGCAACACAAGTTCAATCCCTGGCCAGGGAGCTGACCCACATGGCGCGGCAGACCTCTCCTGACCCGCCCGCTGCTCCCATCAGCAGTGTATTTCAGTTGATCTGCTTGTTCTGCTCCCCACTCTGTCTCTGGTGAATCCTCGCACCCACCACACCTCTGGCCTATACCCCAGTTCTGTAAGTATAAATAAATTTTAAAAAAAGAAGACAGAGACTTCAATTATCTTTCCTTAAGAATAGTTGGGAAATAAGCAACAGATATTAACAGGAAGTTTCAGAAAGAGAAATGCAAGTGACTCTCAAACATGAAAACCTACTAAATAAACCCATAATCAAATCAAACCATTTATGTCATATGGAAATAGCAAAATCCACGTGTGATAATATATATTGGCTAGCAAAGGTATGCAGAATATAAATGGGTATAAAGCTATGAAGGTCACTTTGACAAAATTATAAAATTACAAATGCATAGTCTGTATGAACCGACAATTACACTTCTAAGGTTCCACATATATGTGCTGAGTGATATGTATCCAGTATTACTCAATGGAGCATCAAAGCATTTGGTTG